CCCCAGACCCAGCCCCAGACCCCAGACCCAGCCCCAGACCCAGACCCCAGACCCAGACTCCAGACCCCAGACCCAGCCCCAGACCCCACACCCAGACCCCAGACCCAGCCCCAGACCTCAGACCCAAACTCAGACCCCACACCCAGACCCACACCCAAACTCAGACCCACACTCAGACCCACACTCAGACCCAGACAGTTTTTATTTACAGTCTGCCAAACGAGTCTTTAACGAAAGCTCTAATTGGCTAATTAAACGCTCAAACATGAGAGCTAACTGGATATTGCATTTGAAGCGTTGAATATGATTGGTCAGCCCCTTGAAACACGGATGACATCAATAGCCATTAAATTTGAAAGGAACAACCTAATTGGCCACTATAGTCATTCAGTCGAGTGCCCTAATTGGTCATTTATTTTTTTTAAAAAAAAAGTGCTCGGTGATTGGCCCAGATCGATATAACATGTCCGTTTATGGTATAGGCATTGGGTTTTAATTAATAACAGTATATTGAGTCTCGTTACAGTAGGAGAATATTAACAAATAAATCAAGGGAGGACTGTTTCTGTACCTACTGTAGCAGAGTGTCTCTATTTTGGGTCACTGTTTATGGCTACGAGAGAGAGAGAGAGAGAGAGAGAGAGAGAGAGAGAGAGAGAGAGAGAGAGAGAGAGAGAGAGGGAGAGAGGCGTAATACATTAGCTATATTGTCTACAAGCATATTGCCTCAGACATACTGCCAGATAAGCTCCTACTATTTTAATTACAACTAATAAAAATTATATTAGTTATAATTAAATGGAAAAAATTAAAAAAATCCGAGAAAAAATTAGAAAATCCGAGAAAAAATGAGAAAATCCGAGAAAAAACGAGAAAATCCGAGAAAAAATGAGAAAATCCGAGAAAAAACGAGAAAAAACGAGAAAATCCGAGAAAAAACGAGAGGGAAAAAAGTCATTTCCTCACCTTAAAATAAATGGAAATGGGTGAAGTTTTAATGGGTTAATACATGGGGCTATTTTAAGTATATCTGACCAGGCGGGGGAATTTTCCTTAACGACGGGAGGCTGATGGAAACTTGGGGAAGGAGGTGGGGGGGGGAGGAACAAGGGAGGGAAGAGAGGGGCAGGAGATGAAGGGAGGAGGAGGAGGAGGGGGGAGGGAGGAGGAGGATGAGGGGAAGGGAGGGGGGAGGAAGGGAAGAGGAGGAGGAAAAAAAGAGTGCAGAGGAAAAGAAAAAGGAGGAGGAGAAGGAAGAGAGGAAGAGAAAGAGGAGGAGGAGAAGATGAGAAGGATGGAGAAGTGAGAGTGGGGGAAGGATTGGAAAGTGGAGGGCAGAAGGAGGCAAGGGGAGTGGGGTGGAGAGAGAGAGAAGGGAGATGGAAGAGGGGAGCGAGGTGGGACAGGTAGGCTGGGCAAGCAATTACCTGGTGATGGCAGGATATTACCTGACGACGTGGGATACATTTATATTGTTGGACACACACACACACACACACACACACACACACACACACACACACACTGACACACACACACACTGACACACACACACACTGGACAGACACACACACACACACACACACACACACACACACACACACACACAACAATTCCTCGTATCCTAACCTAACTCTAACCTAACCTAACCTAACCCAACCCAACCCAACCAACCTAATCCCAACCTACACAATCATTTAGGAAATTATATTAACTAGAACTGTAACATTAAACTCTCATCAATGCATCTTCAGTAATCATCTAACCTAATTAAGGTCATTAAGAACGATTTTTTCCCATAATAATGAAGTGAGAGTTAATTATATAAAAAATATAACTCGGTTTATTAATTGTCCGGATAAGGAGGAAGTATGGTGATGCTGGATGGAGGGGGAGGGGGGAGGGAGGGGAGGGGGAGGAGGGGAGGAGGGGAGGGAGGGGGAAGGAGGAGGAACCAAGATTCTCTCTCCCATTAATCGTCGCACATTTTCAAGATGAAGTAATTGCAATATGATGAACTTGGTGCAAACTACAACAAAACTTCCTCCTTCAAAAACTACCTGAGACTTTGGGTATTAAAAGCGTAGCCAAACTTCGGAGGAGGAGGAGGAGAGAGGAAGAGGAGGAAGGGAGGAGGAGGAGGAGAAAGAAGGGAAGAAGGAAGAGGGTTTAAATTCTTGGAAGCCTTCATCGTCATCTCTTCCTCTTCTTCCCCATACCCCTTCCTCTTCCTCCTCCCCCAAACCTCTTCTTCCTCTTCCTCTTCCTCTTCCTCTTCTCCCAACAACTCCAACAAATCTAAGCAGCTTCAAGTTTAATTCTAGTTTGATTTTAGTTACAAGAGAATTATTTTAGACTCCATATTACTGATATCACAAGGAAGATATCAAGTTTCAATTAGGCCTGTCGCTGGGAGGAGGAGGAGGAGGAGGAGGAGGAGGAGGATGGGGTGCGGGGAGGAGGGGGAAATGAGTGGGCTATGGGGGGAAAAATCATGAGTTTTATTAGTGAACCTCCTGACGCAGCTACAGCCACCCCCTACCAGCTGTTCCCTCGTCCTATGATTCACGGATGGTCTTGTGGCCCCTCTCTTCTCTCCATCAACCCCACTCCTCCTATCTTTTTCTTCTCTTTTTCTTCTATTCTTCTTCCTATTTTTTTCTTTCTTGTTTTATTATTTCTATTTCTCCTCCCACACTTCCTTCCTTTCACGTGCTCCTGTACTCTTTCACCTCCCCCTCCTCTCCCTCCTGTTCCTCTCTCTCCTCTATAGACCTCTCTCTCCTCCCCCACCTCACCTCTCCTCCTGTTTTCCTCACCTCCTCCACCTCCCCTCCCTCTCTACCTCCTCACTCCCTCCTCCCACCTCCTCCCACCTCCTACCTCCCATCTCCTCCCCACCTCCTCCCACCCCCTCCCTCTCTCACCCCACCCCCCTCCCACCTCCCACTCCTCCTCCTACCTCCTCACTCCCTCCTCCTACCTCCACCCCCCTCCCATCTCCCTCCCTCCTGGCTCCTCCTTCATCTCCCCCTCTCTCTCCTCCCCACAAGACAGCTGGCAGGAAGTCCAACAAAGATGGTAACTGCCCTGGGAATGTTTTCAGACCTACAATATTTTCGCAGTGTCGGGGTGTAGCCAGGCTGCTCTTGTCTGTGTGTAGTGAGTGATAGGGAGGAGGTGTGGGATAGGGGAGGCAGGTGATAGGAGGAGTAGTGTGGATAGGGAGGAATGTGATGGGGGAGGAAGTGGTGGATGGGGAGGGAAGGAGGAGATGGGAGGGGGGGCTGTATGATGGGGAGGTTGAGGAAGAGGACAAAAGAAGAGGAAGAGGAAGCGGGGTAGTGTAGAGGGGGACAAGGAAGAGGTGGAAGGAAGAGGGAGGTGTTGAGAACCGAGATGAAGAAAAGAAGAGGAAGAGAAGAGGAAGAGAAGAGGGGGAAGTGGAGGTAGATGTTTTGGGGGCTGGGAGGAGGAGGAGGAAGAGGAGGAAGAGGAGGAGGGGGGAGGAAGAGGAGGTAAAGGAAGAGGAAGAGAAGAAGTGGAAGAATAAGACAGCATCAAGGTATATTCCCTACACCGTCAAAATACCCTAAATAATCATCTTATCCTCCTGACCCACTAAACATCGTTCACTATCAATACACTAACTATATAATTTACTTCCTGAACTGTACTGCAAAAATTTTCAAGAATAATAATAAAAAAAATAATCTAAATGCATTTCTATTCAACTTCATTCACTCAGGTTAAATGTAAGTCGAGTACAACACAAGACATTCACTCAGACATCCAGAGTTGCATTCACTCAGTGTTGCAAGGAAAGTGGTCGCATAGAGACGTGATAATGCATAAGAGTGTTGGAGGGATTTTCTTTCATTCTCTTTTATTTTAATGTCGTGTGTGTGTGTGTGTGTGTGTGTGTGTGTCTGTGTGTGTCTGTGTGTGTGTGTGTGTGTACCATGATGCATTCCTGGATTCTTTTACAGAGTTCGTAAATGAGTTTGTAAGAAAGTGGAATTTCTGAGGGGTGAGGGGGGTGAAGGAGGTTGGGTTTGAGGGAGGAGGGGTTAAGGAGGAGAGGGGTTGAGGAGGGAGGGTTGAGGGGAGTGGTTGTACAAAAAAAAGTATTCCAGATTTTTTTGATAAATTTGAGGATCAACTTTTATGGTATTTTGTGTTCCAGGATTTTTATTTTAACATAATTTTTGAACTTTTTAAAATTTTATGAATATTCTTCAAATTTCTCTCCTTCCTCTTAGTAGCAATCTTATTTACTCTCTCCTTCTCCCTCCACCATGGGTAGAGAGAGAAGAGAGCCTATTACACCGGGCTTACCATCCCTAATGCTTAAATAATAACCCAACCATCTGTATGTATGTATGTATGTATGTGTATGTATGTATGTATGTATGTATGTATGTATGTACGTATGCATGTATGTATGTATGAGAAAAAATAAACACTACAGTTACATATACATAACCCATTAAACATCACGATATATATTTCCTATTATTCTCCTTCCCTCCACTCACTACCCACTCACTACCCTCTCATCCCCTCTTATTCCCCTTCCTCTCATCCTCCTTTCCACTAATAACCTCTCCTTACTACCCCTTTTCCCCATTCCTCTCCACAACTAACCTACCCTACTCTTTTCTCTTCCCTTTTCCTCTTATTCCCCTTCCTTTCATCCTCCTTTCCACCAATATCCTCACCTTTTCCTTCCTCCTTACTTCCTGACTCATCTCCTCCTCATTCACCTCACAGTAGGAGGGAAAGGAACGTAAAATATGAGAGAGACTGCAAGATTTTTCTCACATTCAACACTTTTTCTTATTCTTTATCAATTTCCCCCATTCCCCATCTTTCTTTATACTTCTTATCCTCTTTCTATTCACCTCTTCCTCTCTTTCATTCCCCTTCCCACCTCCTCATCACCTACTTATTAAATACATTCACTTTTCTTTATATAAGTGTTGTGTTCCAGTACTCACCAGTTCCACAGAACCATAATGGCGCCTGCTGAACACTCCTCGTCGGGAGATAAGGTCACTCGAAGCTGATCTGTTGATAAGAGAAAGATAAGGTTAGATAACAGTAATTTACCTTTAACTTAACATATACTCTCAATCGCTAAAGGGGTTTATTATGTCTTTCTTACCAAAAATCTGTAATACATGATTTTGTAGTTTGGTAAGACTAAATATGCTTAAATCTTTACTAATCTGAGGGAAAATGTTGGATTAATTGACGAGTGTATGGTAGGATTTGTTTAATATATACAATTAAATAAAAGTTTTAAATCTGTAGGTAAAATCTGAATTATTTTTGTATTAATGAGGATTTATAACATATTTTGACTTATCAATTTATCTACATTTGTTTATATTCGTCTCCTTAACAGTTCTCGAAAAAAACAAAACAAAACAAAAGCTATCGATAGTCTCCACCAAAGAGAATTCAATCGTCAATAACTTCATAAATTTATCAACAACAACAACAGCACAAAACAAAAGCTATTTATAGTCTCCACCAAAGGGAATTCAATCCTCTATATTTTATCAAATTACCAAAACAACGATAGAAACTTAATTTACTTTCTATATTACAAAAAGAGAGAGAGAGAGAGAGAGAGAGAGAGAGAGAGAGAGTTAAATAAAAGACATATATAAAGCCAAACACCAATAACTAGTATGTAAAGGGATAACAGAGAAGCAAAGAGATAAGAAAAATATAATAAAAGAACAAAATAAAAGATAAAATCATAAAAGAATAAAATAAAAAAGTTAAGATTAGAAAAAAACATTAAAACTCGATATTATTTTTTACAATAGTCTTAGAAACTTTCCAGACTCCAGATCTTCCAGTGAAACCTCCAAATACCGGACTGACTCGATATAACGGACTCTCCTCTCTATATAGCCTGTTAAATAGAGATGTCACTCTACATAAATTTATTAACTTTCAAAATATATATAATTCACAAGTTACAGGGAAAAAAATATTATCGAATTCAATTAAAAAAAACTACAGGTATATTTTTTATGAGTATGTCGAATGTTGCAGGTTATATAAGATGATACATATTTACTTTGGGTTTATATAGTATCATATCTTGAGGAAAAATGGATATAAAATGTTGGAGAGTGATATGAAGTACTGAGAGAGAGAGAGAGAGAGAGAGAGAGGCCTGGTAGTTTATAATTATATGGGAGATTTGTGGCCATTATGAAGGAGACGACTCAGGGCCTTCAGTGCCAAGCCCAGCATTAGTGCCTTCGTTTGGCACAGCAAGATAACACCAGGGGAGGGGGGGGAGAAGGAGGAGGATAAAGGATGGAGGAGGTAGGGGAATGGGGTTGGAGACTGGGGGAGACATAGGGTAGATGGAGGAGGAGGAGGATGTAGGATGGGGTTGGGGGTGAGGAGGAAGAGGAGGTAAAATTGGGGTGGAGACGGGGAGAACTGGAAGAGAAGCGGGAAAAAAGTGATAGAGGGAGAGATTAGGGAAGAGGAGAAATGAGAAGAGGAAGAGGAAGTGATAAGGAAACTTCCATCTTTTCCTTTCTCCCTCGATACTTCCCTCCCTCTAATCTCGCCTCCTACCCTGTATAGCTACCCTCCCTCCCTCCCTCCCTCCCTCCAGCCTTTCCTTCCTCCCTCCTTCTATACTTCCCTCACTCCTTCCATCCCCTTGAGCAGAATCCTCCACGTCATCCAACTAAGGACACCAGAACTAATCTTCCGCAGCTGTGATTGGTCACGTCCCCGGCATCCTGACTCTTAGCAAGGGGGGGGGGCAGGGGAGGGGGGGTGAGGGGGGGGCAGGGAGGGGGGTGAGGGGGCAGGGGAGGGGTGAGGGGGCAGGGAGGGGGCAGTGAGGGGTGGTGGGGGTGGTGGGAGGCAGAAGCTTCTAGAACGACCCTTAACCTTCTCCTGGGCGTCCTTCACCCCAGTACCTAGCAAAATACCCTTAGCTTTTTATCTCCTAGGGTGCCTCCTAGCTATAATAGTGAATCTCGAGATATAAAGGAGGGAGGGGAGGGGGAGAAGGGGAAGGAGAGGGGTAAGGGAGGGGAGAGGGGGAGGAGAGGGGGCAAGGGAGGGGGGAGAGGGGAGGGAGGGTAAGGGAGGGGAGAGGGGAAGGAGAGGGTAGGGGAGGGGGGGTCCTTCATATATCCTTTCATGTTTCCTGAATATAAAAAAAGTTCATCAGGATTCTTTTGTGTTCAGCTTTTGTGTTCAATGTTTTTATCGTAGTCTTAGTCCTTATACATCCTTCATCCTCCCTCACACTCCTTCACTATTCTCTAAGTCATTTTATACCACCAATAAAGTTTCCAAAATGTTCAATAAAAGTTTCACAACGTTTTTACATGTGGTTGAAATGAGAAGAAAAAAATGCCTTCATCTCCATAATTATACTCCAGGGTAATATATCAGATGCACCTAACCTAACCTAACCTGACCCAACCCAACCATATATTTTTTCAAGTACGTAACATAAAAAAAAAAAAAAAAAATTCTCAATTCCTATAATAACATTCTAAACAAAAGTACACCA